AAGGGGGAAAGATGGTATATATGGAGTTATTACATTCAAACAGTTATGAGGGTCAGACATCCATACAGTGAGCAAAGATTCAGCACTATGTACCTTTGAACCTCCTGAGCTATTATGTAAGCAGCCTGACTGTAAGAGCTTTTTGAAAGTGGTGTTGTAGATGACAAACATCTGTTGCTGTTGCCTACAGTCAGAAGCTTATGCTGCTGAACATTTGTGCAGTGGAATGTGGAAACAAGAAAGAATCTGAATGATGTGATGGAAACTAATTGTGATCTACAGTTTCCTCTGCTAGGTAATCCTCACAGAGACAAATGAGTCATTGGAGGAAGAGAGCCAAAGCAATACTTTTCCTTTTGTCTTTCACATGGGAAAAATATGCTGTTCACTAGTAGATAGTTACTTTCAACTTCCATACTTAGAGGCAATACATACGCTGATAGGTTTGGCAGTCATACCAACCAAAGTGTCAGTTGTGTCTTTTTGCCACATTCTGTAAGACTTTGAGAATAGTCTAGGAGCCTAGTTTCTGTCTCCCATTTTGAAGTATTGTTCTCCCATTTCTTCAGTAAGTTAGTTTCTGGAGGTCTCCAGAGGTTAATTGTATTAGATTTATGCTTTTATGCTCTTTTGATGCCTAAATCTTTGGCTCTATGTTTGTTGTTCCTGCTTGTGGGATTTTTCTTCTGTATCTTTCCCATCTCATTGAGACCGTCCTTGCACCAGCAAAAAGTCCTACTTGGGAATCATGTGGCCTAATATTGTTATCTCAGGATTGTAGCAGCGTCCCAAAAATTCAGGCAAAATTCATTCCTAGACGTAACTGCCCACCAGATGACTCCCCATTCAAGTGCTAACCAGGTTGACTTTATTTAGCTTCCAAAATCAGACAACACTCTATCCTGAGTGATATGGGTGGTCCATCTGGGCTAGGGTTAGGGTTCTTGTGTATATATCTGGGTACCCAGTAGTTTTTTTGGTTGTTGTATGGCTTCAAGTCATTTCTGATGTATGGTGACCCTTAAATAAATAAATAAATAAAATCACAGGATTATCTTGGCAAGATTTGTTGAGGGGAGGGGGTTGCCCTTGCCTTTCGCTGAGGCAGAGAGTGTGTTCTGCCCAAGATCACCCAGTGGATTTCCATGGCTGAATGGGGATTCAAACCCTGATATCCAGTGTCATAGTCTAGTATTTAAGCCATTACACCACACTGGTTTTCATTTATTCCTTTTGCAGAATTTCTCTGCTGCATCAAAGAGTTGGATTGCATCATAGTACCACCTGTAGAAGTTCCTGGTGAGAGTTTGATAATAAAGGAGAAAGTTGGGGAATACCAGGAGCCTCCTCTACATCACACCCGTGCCTCATAAGGGTAGAAGAGAGCATCGGCCAGTGTCTCTGTACTTGTACCTAGGAAGCATAGCAAATAGCTTTTTACTATTCCTTCTAAGCATAATCAATTGTTATTGAAAACAGATATGTGATCATGTCTACAGTCATTTTTCCTCTCTTCCTCCAATACAGTGGTGGTCAACTTGTGGCCTTCCTGATATTAGACTACAGTTCCTATCAGCTTAATCCCTCACATTCAGAAATGAAGGGTGATGGGAGTTGTCACCAGTCTATCTGGAGGGCTGCAAGTTGCTCACTCTGTTCTGATGGAAAAGAGTTTGGAAATGTGAGTGATGTTAGGATGTCTTGTAAATAGGGACGTGAAAACTTTTCAATCTTTAATATAGTGTGTTTCTGTGGCTCCTACCTGCATTGTTGTCCCATCCTTGCTTAATTCATATTGGGTTTTGAACATTTGATTTTCTTTCTGCATGGAAGTGTGTGCACATTGATTTGCATTTATTTTTCCTAATGTACATATATTTTATATGCATATTTCACATTGCCAAAAGTAATTTTGTGTGTATTTTACAATTGTCCACATCTATAGTTTTTTCCTGCCTTTACTGTGTGAAGTTCTCTTAAGATCTGCAAGGGTTCTCCTTACTTTAATATTAGGACTCTTTATATTTTATCCTGACAAGAAAGAAATACCGTAGATATGCCAGATTATGAATGGCGACAGGCAAGGACATGCAAAAAGCTGGCACAGATATATTTCTTACCGTTCAGATTGGTGATATATTTATTCTGGGCATAAATCCATATGGAAAGGCCTTTCTTCACAGATTTTCTTTACCTTTAAGGCAATATCTAAAATCCACAGTTTGAAAAGTGCTTCATCTCCTTGTAATTTCCAAATAGTTATATTACATTTCTAAATAATCTTAAGAGGCTCATTTTAAAATAAAAACTGTGAGATGCAAAGAGAGCCTGAAACGTTCATAATCTCAGTTCAGTTATCTTGCTTCGGTCTGTGAAATAGTTTTAGAAAACCAAAGCTGGCCTGGAGAACCTAGTTTGTGTGGGAGGGTGTGGAATCACTTTTTACAGTAGCTACACGCAGCTGCCAGGCTGGGAACTGTGAATCTTTTGTATACAGTTCTCAGAACTGCAACCACATTAGTTTTGGTCAAACTTTAACTTTTTAAATCCATCTAACGTCTCATATATTGCATACAGTAGGAAAGAAGGATGATACAATATCACCCTTAAATCATTTTCAGCTTCAGAACTGATATCATTCCTTCACTTTGTATGTATGTGTCTTCAAGTCACCTGTTGACTTATGCCAATCCCATTCATTTCAAAAAGCTTTATTAGGGAAGAAATAAAGAGAGGTGGTTTTGTCAATCCCTTCCTCTGAAATAGAGCCCATTGCACCTGGTATTTGTTGACAGTCTCCCGTCCAAATACTAACAAGGACTGATGTTGCTTAGCTTCCAAGATCAGATGGCAACTGGTGGCTTTAGGGCACGGGTAGGCAACCTTTCCCCTTTAAGGGCCGAGGGACTTCAGCTCCCAGAAGCCTCAGCCATGTTGGCCAATAGTCCCATGTTGGCCAATAGTTCCTGGGATTCTGGGAGCTGAAGTCCCTCGGCCCTTAAAGGGGAAAGGTTGCCTACCCCTGCTTTAGGGTATATGTAGGCACTTAATATGCTGGCCTTTTCCCTTCGATTTCTTGGGTTACCAAATACAAAGGAGAATAGAGATCCTATAGCTTTTTAATAACTCTATCCATTAGGGGAATTTTGGTAATGTAGAGTGGGTCCTCCACATTAGCTGGGGTTAGGAGCACAGGACCCCCATAAAAGTGGAAAAAACAGAAATAAAAAACTACTTTTTAAAAAACTTGAAAGAACTCTTCTCTAGGAATCTCTAGGTCAGGAATAGGCAACCTTTCCCCTTTAAGGGCCGAGGGACTTCACCTCCCAGAAGCCTCAGCCATGTTGGCCAATAGTCCCATGTTGGCCAATAGCTCTTGGGATTTTGGGAGCTGAAGTCCCTCAGCTCTTAAAGGGGACAGGTTGCCTACCCCTGCTCTAGGTCCTCTAGCACAACTCTATAGTCAGCACCCACTGGAAATTGACTGTAGAATTGTCCTGTAGGGCCTACAAATGCCTAGAGAAGTGTTTTCTCTAGGAATTTCTAGGTCCTCCAGTGGGACATTGACCATAGAGTCACACTGAAGGACCTAGAGATTCCTAGAGAGATCATATTAATCAAATCAATGAATAATCACATCTGCAAAAGTTAAAGCCACAAGTGTAGAGAGCTGGCTGACTATATTGTAAAGGGGTGAGAGAAATCAATGCCTGCTGAAATTCTTTGATCTGCATAAATGCTAAAGGTAAAATAATTCTCACCCTGCTGTGCTTTTATACCTTTCTTTTCTTTCTCTTAGTCAAAACTATCAACAGTCAACTGTAGTGTCATAGCTGTGATCCCCTTGTTCACTCCAGCTCATCAGTTAGAAACTATTTTTTTAAAACAAAAAGTTTTAATAATTGACTTTTGAGATCTAGATTTGGTGCTTCAAGAAATGATTAATTTCAAATGTGAAAATGTATAAATCATCCTCATAAATTAGAATGAAATTCCTCCCCCTCGTTTCTAATACCTATTTTAATTTCCATCCATTTCATGCTGCTTCTAATGTGAGGCTGGATTAACATAATATTAAACTGTCAAAGTGGTTTGCAAGAAGGCTTAAGATGATTGTCAAAACTAAGGAGGATTATTTCATGTCCAGAAAAGTATGATGTTTTATGTAACAAACGTAGCATGTTATCAAAAGCTATGGAACATGTCATATTTTATTACTGTTCTGGATCCCATAGGGAAAAGAAGATCAAAACTTGGTATAAATCTGTCCTTCACTTGAAAACAAACACAAATACAAAAATAAAGCAAGCTCTTAAACCTTTGAGTGAAAAGGCTGCAGATTCTAAATTCCCGATTTCCTAATTTTCTACTGATATTTGGGAGTTACTTTATTGCGAGTCTACTCAAGCCTTTTCCTTATCATATGCTTTTGCACAGTATATTCACTGTGTTTACATCCAGCAAAAGAACTAATTTAAATAACATTTCCCAATTTGTAACTTGTGTGTTCTGTGTAAAAGGATATTTGTTTTGAAACAGGTTTTAAAGACATAATACTGTACATTGTATCCAAAGGTGCCACACCATAAACAAGGTAGTTCTGTTTCAAGAAGGGATCTAGATCCCACAGAACTTCATCCAAGCCCCTGGAACAAATGTAGTGAGGTCAAGTCTTCCGTGGTGAATTATATGACATGAATTAATGTAAATTAACAGAATTTATATTTATTTATATTTGTAATTTATATTTATATTCTCTTGACTTAAACAGAGTTAAGCAGTTGCCTCATATGTGATTTTCTGGTTGACATCTGGGTGGAGTATGATTTTGTTGTGTGACTTCAAGTCATTTCTGACTTATGGCAACCCTAAGGTGAACGTATCATGGGGTTTTCTTGAGCTTTCTTTCTTTCTTTCTTTTGTTTAGAAGGGGTTTGCCATTGCCTTCTCCTGAGGCTGAGAGCATCTGATTTGCCCAAGGTCACCCCAGTGGGTTTTATGGCCACATGGGGAATTGAACCCTGGCCTCCAGATTCGCAGTCCAACACTCAAACCACTACTCCACTCTGGCTGTCATGGAGTATGATAGGGAGAGCAAAACTCAGAACATGAATTGATACAGTGGTATTAACCTAGGTCCAAAACACACTGCAGAAATAATCTAATTTGAGACTGCTTTTACAGCTCTGGCTCAATGTTAGGGAATTCTGGAAACTATAATTTTGTGACACCTTTAGCCTCCTCTGTCAGAGAGCTCTAGTGCCACAATAAAGTACAACTCCCAGGATTCTCTAGCACTGAGCCAGGGCAGTTGAAGCAGTCTCAGTCTGGATTGTTTTTGCAGTGTGTTTTGGATGTTAATTCATGATCCACTTGCCTCTACATGAAGAAAATCTAAGACTTGCCACTTGAGAGGATATATTACTACAAAAGCAGAGTGAGCTTGAGCCTTAACCTCTGCCTCCTTTATCCAGGAAAAGGGCATTATTATATCTGTAACAGCACCAATTGCAAGTCTTTTTACACCTTGAAAAAAGAATTCCCAGTCTTCTAGAAAAAGAATACAGCAACAAAAAGACACTCAAAAACTGTCGGTATCAGGCAAGGAAGAGGATAGAATGTGCATTGTGAAGTCCTGGTTAGTACAGAATTAAAAGGAAGTTTTATGTTCACTCAGGGAACTATTGGAGGTAAAATTTTAAAAGCATTTCAAGTGATTTTGTTAATTTGATACACGTTGGGTATATTGGCCCTCTTCCCTTTATGTATATCCCACATTTTCCTCAGGAATAGGATACATGTCAGCATTCTTGCATGGCGATAAGCCAGAAATCTTGTCTTAATAGAGGCTGATGTGAAATGCATTTTCTTATAATTTGACAATCTGTTACTCCCATTGTCCAAGACAGGAAGAGAACTTCATATTGACACCTGAATGTAGCATTGTGGCTATGTGAGCTCAAATAAGTCAAGATCTATAAATGAAGTTCAAACCAGGCTTTGTTGATTCTTGGCTTGTATAGGTGCACAATGGGGAAAAATAGGCATCATATACAAACACGCAGCTCATTTCACATGAAGGTTTTTTGAACCAGGTTTCTTAGTATTATTGTATTACACATGTGCATGGGAAGGTTTGCTATGAACAAAAGTAGGGCTGTATGAACCAACGTGTTGCAAGATTTCTAGGTCTTTAGATTTTGAAATGGACTAGCCATGGGTTTTGTTTGTTGTTCTTAACTTCCCTTGAGTCGATCTCAACTCTTGGCAACCCTGTGGATGAGACATCTCCAAGACTCTGTCCTCCACTGCTGTGCTTAATTCTTGCAACCCCTTAATACCCATGACCTCCTTCATAGAGTCCATCCATCTAGCATGTGGCATTCCTCTCTTTCTACTTCCCTCCACCTTCCCCAGCATTATTGTTTTTTCCAAAGAGCCCTCTCTTCTCATGATGTGTCCAAAGTACGACAGCCTCAGTTTGATCATCTTGGCTGGTTTTCAGTGTGATCTGCTCTAGGACCCACTTGTTTGTCCTTTTGGCTGTCCATGGGATCCTCAGCACTCTTCTCCAGCCCCACATTCTCTCAGAGGCATTGGTTTTCTTCCTATCATCTTCCTTAATTGTCTAGCTCTCACATCCATCCATGGTAATAG